AAAAAAAAAAAAATGTCTCCAAGCACATGAACCATTTTCCAATACTAAATTCACGAAACTGCTTTTGTTATATACTTCCCAGTTCACAGAACAAAAGCACAAGTACTATGGATGCGTGAATTAATGGCTGGGGAAAGGGGGGGCTAGTAACTGAACATTTTTTTATAGTGTCATGCTTAGTAATTAATTAATAGGCCACAAAAGAAGTATATTTATATTGAAATCAATTCCTCAAAATTGTAGCTACACTACAAATTCCTCCAATCACCTACTAAGAAAGAGAACTGGAGAAATGAAATAATCCTCATCAAGTACAAACTCCTTAACAAACTGAGAAAAAAGCTCAACTGCTAGTTTCAAATGATGAGAAGTCATCCAAAGGAAGGTCTAGTAGCAGTCTTTTGAGGTTTTGCATTAGCTTTATTAATATATCTGTACTTAGTAATATAAATATTTGTTAATATATTATTGATGCACATGTTAACATAAAACTGAAGATTTACAAATGCTCAGAAAGCATCAGGGGAATACAGATCAAAGCTAAAGCTAAAAAGGATATTCCAAGTATGTTCAATTTTTAGGTTCTGTTGAAATATTACATGGTAATTCTGAATTATAGTATTTATGTAAATAAAAAGTACTACTTAATGGAACTGGAGGATATTATGCCCAGTGAAATAAGCCAGGCAGAAAAAGACAAGTACCAAATGATTTTCCTCATTTGTGGAGTATAACAATGAAGTAAAACTGAAGGAACAAAACAGCAACAAACTCACAGACTCCAAGAAGGGACTAGTGGTTACCAAAGGGGAGGGATGGGAGGGAGTGGGTGGGGAGGGAGGGAGAAGGGGATTGAGGGGTATTATGTTTAGTGTGGGGGATCATGGGGAAGACAGTGTAGCCCAGAGAAGGCAAATGACTGTGGCATCTTACTACACTGATGGACAATGACTGCAATACGATATGGGGGAGAACTCAATAATATGGGTGAATGTAGTGACCACATTGTTTTTCATGTGAAACCTCCATAAGAGTGTATATATCAATAATACCTTAATAAAAAAAAAGTTCCCATTTTTGCATCCTTGCCTATGGTTGTGATTTACAGGTATTTAAAGGTTTGCCAACCTCTAGTAGGCATGAACAACAAAAGAAAAATAGATGAACTGGACTTAAATATTTTTAAAAACTACTTTAACTGCTGTAGTTTGAATGTTTGTACCCCCAAAATTTGCATGTTGAAATCCTAATGCCGAATGTGATGGTATCTGTTGGTGGGGCCTTTGATATATAAGGTCATGATGGTAGATCCCTCACGAATGAGATTAATGCCCTTATAAAAGATGCCCAGGAGAGTTCCCTTGCCCTTTTTCTCCATGTCAGAACACAGCAAGAAGTCCAACCAAGATGGCCATCACCCAACTCAGCTAACACACTGATCTCAGACTTCAGTCTCCAGATCAGAACCGTGAGAAATAAATTTGCTTTTTATGGAAAAAAAAAAGTACTAAAGTCTAAGCCCAAAATCCCACAGTCATTTCCTCTTTCTCCTCAGCATCTTTCTACATTACTATCTTCCTCACAACAGTCAACAGAAAAAACAACTGGTCTTGAGCAAGATCCTGAAGATTGATGATATAGTGAACCCTTTTTATCTACAAACCTAACTTCATTTCAGGGCTCCAAAAGCTTATCAAATCTATATTAAACCTCTTATCTTCCTCTCACAACAGACTCCTATCCTGACTTCACTGCTTTCCATTAAGGACACTAATACCCCTGTAACCCACACAAGCTCAGATTCATCTTGAATTCTGCCTTCTCTCCGTTATCTTCTCTCTCATGTGCCCAATCAGTTTTCCTCCCATCTGACTGCCATCAACCCTTTCTCTGTTCAGGTCAGAACAATTCTAACAGCCTCCTAAGCGCCTTCCCTTTCTAAATCTACCCAGCTCACTGTTACCCAGATAATCCTCCTAACAACTAGCCCCTTTCTGAAGTTCTTCTGCAACAATATGAACTCTCAACTCCTTCCCATCACACACACACATACTCCCTTCTAAACACACCACATGTATCCCAGACTCATGCACATACCCCCCAACCCCTCAACAATACACATGCAAAGGGGGCTACCGTAGAAACACAAGCACAGCGACACACACATTTCTGGCAAATCCCACCCATCTTTTATGGCTTAGTTCAGGTCTCTCTCATGAAATTTTTTTCAAAGTACCTCAAGCAACCACTTTTCTTCTGACATCTGGCATTTACTGTATCTTCTCTTGGGGCTACTTTCTGGAACACTGATGTGTGTGTGTTCTCACTATTATCACTTCCCAACTACCTTTCAGTTTTCTATGAGGCAGCCAAGCTTTCAAAGACTTTGGCTC